TAATAGAATATTTATACTCACTTGAACTGTCGGTGTCATCTAGGAAGGTCACTTGGAAGGAATGTCCGTTGTTGAGAATTTCCAGGCAGGTGGAGGGGTCGTACTTCAGGTTCAGCGGCTTCAGTCCTCCATCGAAGGTCGCTTCACCAGGTACGATGTCAATGGGAGACTGACGGACTCCATTTGCCACAGGGAAGTTATCAGCCCATTTGTCGGGTCCTAAAATGAGAGAATGGTGTTGTTATTATCACGAGGTTGGAATATTATTGTTGGAATATGTGTTTGAATTGCGCATCTGAGGGATGTGCGTAAAAATCCTCCCCAAGACGCGCAGAATGGCACATTTCTGCAGTGACCCGTGAATGCACCGTCCTCCTTCCATTCATTCTGCACATCGCCTGCGAGTGTGACTGGTTACAAACCACCCTCCTGTCATTTCTACATTAAATACAGCGTGTCGGAGTCGTGCCTCACCGTTGTTCGCTGCGTATCCCCAAGACATGGCGAGACTTTGAATGTGAGAGTTAATGCGGAGCTGTAAATCCGTGTGTAATGAAAGTGTCCCTTCAGAGCAGCCAGTGTCGTCCACCTGACAGCTGCACAGCTTTTATACAGTCCCCTGTGTGCGCCGCGTCTGTCGGGCTGGTGTTGTCCAATGACCGGGAGGAGTTTAGATGCGCAGCAGCAGCAGCAGTGGATCAATGAATCTCTCTCTCTCTCTCTCTCTCTCGCTCTCTCTCTCTCGCTCTCTCTCTCTCTCTGCAGCGGTGAATCTTAATTGACGAGCTGTGTATTCAGTCCGTCAACACGCTGAGCGCCTCTGCACGTCTCTGATAACGGGTTTAAGTCGCCTGTTAGGTGAGGAAATAACGGAATTACGCAGCAAGGAGGCTGCAGTTGTGACTGGAAAGGAACTGAAAGTATTGACGTCAAGCAAACCTGGATCCAATGGAAATCCCAATGTTGTGGGATATGCGTGGTAAAGTTAAATGACAGACTAGAATAGAATGCCTTTATTTTTCTTTGTGCAAGACAAAGCAGTGCAACGAAATGAGGAGGTGCTGACCAAGAAGCATTTCAATCAAAGGCAAAAGATCAGATCAATAGATCAAATCAGTTCAACATCAAAGGGAAACTCATTCCAGCAGTCTTCCTATTAAAAGCATTGAAAAACGCTTCTATTCCCATATTCCCAAACGGTCCAAGCCCATATTCCCAAGCGGGCCCAAATGGGTTTGGGATTAGGAGTTTGAAAGAAGTATGTATGAACCTGGTATAACAGCAGCTCCTGGAGCAGTGCACCGTTGCCATGGTCCAATAAACCAAACAAAGAAGAAGAAGGAATTCCCAAGCTGATGCGCGCTATGTTCACTCCACACCTCGACCTGGTTTTGCAGTAGCTCCGGGAACGGTGCACCGTAGATAGCAGCAGATAACATCTACCGGTCCACGTTCCTGAGCAAGTCAGAGCTCTGTTGGCCTGTTACCCCAACTCATGTGGCCACTTACAGTGGTTACGTTCCCCTCACAAGAGATGAGAACATGGGGAGCATGATCAACTAAGAAAGTGATTAGCAGTCCCAAGATGTCTGAGAAACTTTGGCTTGTATGGACAGACAGAGGCAACTCCTTCAGAGAGGCAGAAGTTGCTTCCTGTCACTCAAGCGAGACAGGGGAAGTGGATGAAATGGGAGAGCATAGATTACAGTAAGATCAGCTGGGAGGACCTGTGGGGAATGGAAGCAAGGGGGATCGGCTTTCTGCTAAGATCAACCTATGACATCTTTTCAGATCCTAAACTGAGACCCAAGATGTTAGGGACACACTCAGGTCTGAACAACCTGTGGTGGTTCTACCTCAGAGGCAAAACATCTACTGGTGCTTGGAAGCATACAAGAGATATTCACCATCTTTTGTATGTTCTACAACAAACAAATATACAACCGATAAATACAAGACTAATACTTTTAATACTTTGTTCAAGTGTACCAGCTATGGTAGAATTAATGTTTGGCTTCATTGCACAATCAGGTTTGGATCCAACCACTTTACATTCATTTATATTCACTGTGTGCCTTGCTCAATGGGTAGAAACCTTGAGAAAATAAACCACAAAGACCATGATTTGTCTGCAGCAGGTGCAGTGCATCAGTTTCAAATGTATGTGCAATGAAAAAAAACCCATGATGAATCAAAAATAGTTTCAATCATTGCAGTAATCGTATTCTTTTTCGAACAGTTTGATTAGACCTCAGTGCTCAGACTATAATGACATCATAACTTCTACCCATTTAAACCAGATACAGGCTGAAAGGAATCAGTAGTGCTATGGTGCCACCTGCTGTTGGTTGATGGGACCATGAGGATTGTGGTCAATGACAATCACAAGCAGAGATTTGACTTTTTTTCTTTTTTCTTTTGGTGTTGATGTGAAATCAAACCCAATAAACTCAACACAATGAACATGAATCACATCTTAATCCAAATAAGCGAATCTGCACAAGGATATATATCATTCAAATGTCAAAACATGCAAAGACTCTACAGGATACTTTGCACAAAATATATCACAAGTGTGTGTATAACATTCTGCGTTTATTTTAAATCTGTTAAACAAACTATAAAATTATCTATTTTCGTTGTAATAATGGAAAATCAAGATAAGCTGGTTAGATATTGTTTTATATTTGGTTTAATTGAACACGGAGTCTGATTAATAATTTAATGTAATATTTCGGTCACATTTAAATTGTGCTCGGTTCCGTTTATTTCTGCGAAATCAAAATTAACAATACGTTTGAATAATAAATATTTCAGCCGAATTATAATAAAATGTAGAAGAATGACGGGAGGAGGCGGAATATGACGCAATCTAAGTATGTCGAACGTCGCGCGTTAGTGACGTCACAGAGAGGAAACGTGTGTAGCGCATTAGGATTAAAAACACGAACTGTCCACGATCAGGTTTGTTTTTTTAATTTCTTATTTATCTGTGGTTCAAAGTGATTCAGATCAGTTTCGTCGCGTTAACAACACGTTTCAGTAGAAAACTGAAGAATATTCAAACTGAACAAACGTGTTTACACAGAATCAGCTGACTGACAACATCTGGGCTGTTTCCAGTGTTGTGGTGTGGAGATCATGTTAAGTTGTTCATTCACAGGTTCTGCCACCAGCTTCTCTTAAATCAGGATGTATGATTCATCGCCTTTATCCAGACACTCGTGTTTGTCCTCTGCACTTTTGGTTCCTTCACAGCAGTGAGCTACAGCTTCAGTTTGTTGTGGGCTGACAGCAGTGGAAGGCAGGATGGTCTCCTGAGCAGACGGCTTCACTAACACTTATTTTTCTCTTTCTATCTTACCGCTGAAGAAGATGCCTCTCTTTGCCCTCGAGGGCGTGTACTCTCAGGGTTTGTTTCTGTTTGTGTTGCAAACTCCTGGTTAAAGTCTAGAAATTGTTGTGCATGAAAAAATGAAAAGAGGTGAAAACTGAAAAAAGTCTGCAACGGTTTGTTTGCTCTCATGTTTTCATCATGAACATCTGAGCCTCCTGAGCATGTTCAAGGGTTTTGATTCACAGATTCAAAGAGTTTTTTAGATGTACAGGTTGCTGATAATGTTTGCTGATATGAGGCTTTCATAGACTAGCTTGAAGATATGATGTTTTTCAAAATAAAAATGAAGAATATTGGTATCAGCCTCCAGAAATCTGTATCGTTTGAGTTCTAATTAAGAGCGGTGTTACTAATCAGAGATCTACTGAGTGCTGGAGTCTTGTGGAGAATCTGGAATAATCCAGACATTTTTAGACGAGTGATGAATACAGACTACATGGTAAAGAAATTCACGTCTACATTGACTTTTGTTCTCTGTCCAGGAAACATGGGGAAGAATAAACAAAAAGGGAAGAAACAGAAGAACGTCTTTCGAGTGGCGAACAAGCAGTCGAAGAACAAGAACAAAACCAAACCCGTCACGACGACACTCAAACACGTAAATTCTCCCCTCTGCTCTTTTTTGTCTCCTTCGTGAACAGTTTGTGATTTGTTGTGTTTGTTGCACCTGCTCCAGCATCATGTGTGATTTCACAGATCAATGCGGTGAAAAATGAGAAGGTGGAGAGCCTCAATCAAATGTTTACACAAGTCCAGAGGGACGTTCAGAGCGTTTCCAAGTCTGTTGCTCCAGAACCAAAGAAACAAACACAGGTAAGAGGAGGAAACTGGACATTTCAAACTAAACCCTCTTGATATAATTAATAATAATAACATAAATACTTCTATTTTCTTATTATCGAGTAAACCTCTGTCTCATATTTTATTGACTGGGGGACACTGTTCAAACCCACTGTTTGTATTGGATCATGATTTATTTCCGTTTGCTGCGTAATGTAAACAAAACTTTAAACATCTCATCTTTGAACACGATTTGCACACAATAATGAAGACAACAACTCCCATGATCCCACGCTGCTTATCGACATCATCGCACTAGGTATTTTGATTAAGAGACCCTTAGCAACCGAAGTTACACATCATACGTGCTTCTCTTTGTCTCTTCAGGTCGTCAGGGAGCCGCCTAAAGAATCTGTAAATGTGGACAATGCTGCTCAGCTTTTCTCTCAGCTGTGATGGTCCCAGAGAAAAGGACTGTGATGAATTACATTCATGGAAGAGTTGAGCCGCTTCTCTTTGCTCATTTTCAGTTTTTGAAGTCAGGTCTCAGAGGAGCTGCTGGTTTACTTCCAGTGTAATTTGGCTTTTTCATGCCAACACAGACTCTGCAGACGAGTCTGAAAAGAGAAGAGGTGCGGTTTAATTTAATCATCCTGTGTTTCCTGTGCGAAGAATTCACTTAACGAGTCTGAGTATTAGTGATATTGTTTCAGAATTACATTATTGCTTTATTAGTGCTGCAGTTAATGATAATTTTCTTGATTAATTCACGACTTGCTTTGTTTATAAATCATCAGAAAATATTGAAATAAATGCTCAGTATAAAATCCCAGAGCCCAAATGGATTATCGTCAAGCTAGGTTTTTTTTTAGGTCAACAGCCTCAAACCAAATAAATATTCCCCTAACTGTCAAATATAAGAAATCAAAAGGCAGAAGAATCTTCACATTTGAAACAGATGCAATTAGTGAATGAAATAATTCATCTGCTGAGAAACGAATTTCCGTGTTATTTTCTGTCGATGTTCATTTGTTCTATCCTCGTCAGACAGTGTTGATATGTTTGCCATCATATTGAATCTTTATGTAATTAAAGGCTATTTGTAGACGTTGGTTTCAAACAGATTCTAATGAATAATTTAACCATGTGCATCTTCTGTTTTGTTCTTTCAGGTTATTCAAGGTTTTCACATGATTTTCTTTCTTGTTCTTCACGTCAGGTTTTGTGTTAAAGCAGCTGCTGTTCGTCACGATCAAAGCTTTTGCCTCCAACACTTTTGTTACCTGTGGTTTTTACGGAAGTCATTAAAATTTCATGTAGAATCCGTCACAGAATGTAAACGAGGGATTCACCTACAGCTCAGTGATGTCTTCATTAAATGATATAACAACCATGTAATATAATATACAAGAGCTTCATGTGTGATTTCAATGAAAGTTTGTGGGAAGTTTTGGTGCAGAATCAGATCAGGGAGCCGATCTTGGATATTTTCCTTCGTTGCTGTAACATTGTGAGATCGAGTGTTTTTTAACTACGTTTATTTCTCAGAGAACAAGTCAAGGATCAGATGTGATTAGAAGACTGATGTGTGCAATTTAGTTCAGATCCAGATAGAGTGAATTTAAATGTAATTTTGAATATTTTATAGAAGAACTGTTGGGCCTCGCTGGATGCATGAGCTCTACTCATTCTACATTCTAGCCTGTTTGTAAACAAGATTATGGAAAAACTAGTGGACGGATTTTTCCTGAAACTTGGAAAGATAGTTCTAGACATTGTTTGAAGAGGTTCAATGATAACATGATAGAAGTTCCTCATGCTACATGTGTGCAGTGTTTGTATTGTAGCTGCAGCCCATAGTTCTTACTGAGTCTGAACCATGGTGTCAGCTGTCTCCTGCATTTCTCTCACCTCTGTATGTACGAGCTCTGATGTGCAACCTGAAGATGAAGTATAGATTTTTCTGCCGCCGCCCGTGAGCAGCGGGCCGTTATCAGTATTCTGCCGCAGCCTGCTGCTGTAGCGACTTGACATCAAAGGTCACAGAAGTAGCGGCGCCCAGCTAATTGCTTGTCTCAATCGTGACCTCTGACTGAGTTAGTGGCTCAATAAATCTGGAGCAGGGAGAAGCATGAGTGAGGCTGGTAAACAAGCCTGCGTGGACGTAAATAAGCCGAGAACGACAGTTTCAAGGTGAAGATGATCGTGACAGAAGCGTTTGAGTGATGGTTTTAATCCACTTGAATGCAGATGGCTCGTACTGAGCAGCAGAGATTAAAACAGCTGCTCTCTTTCTATATTTTACGTGGGTCCGCTCTGCTGCAGTGTCGCTTCGACTGTTGCTGCCACAAGCACGAGTGTCTCAGTGGACTTTTGGGGCCTTACATGGAATCAGTGATGGACTTTGTCTTTAACCACAACTCTAAGATTTGGCAGAAAGCTACCGGCTTGGAGCCTCATCCGACCATGTAGATATCTCAGTAGCTGATCATAGAATGATCATTTCTGTGGATCAGCTGGTCTCAGTTTGGGGATTTCAGGGACTTTAATCCACTTGAATACAGATAACATGAATTCGGCAGTAGAGGAGGTTAGAAAGGCTTAAACCTGCAAGAAATAAATGTCTGGCCACTTGCAGGCAACATTGCTCATTTATGATAATCATGAAAAACAACCTTTCACTTCTCCCGACGGCCTTGTGGCTTTCACATTTGTATTTCAGCCGTTTCATTCTGTCCAACACTTCTGGGCCACCGTACCTTTCACCCCTGAAGTTAGTAGTTAGTATTATTCAACTTTGTGACGCAGGATGCCGCTGGAAAATTTCAAGTAAAGGGGAAAAGAAACAACAGATGCTGTGTGAAGGTGTCAAGGTGTCAAGCAGATGCTTCCCACTCGGATCCAGATGACAGCATCACAGCAGAGGCAGTGAGGTGGCACCACCAGACCCTGGGGACACGGATCTGCCAGAACACGCGTATGCTGACTTTCAGATGTGGGGAGTAGCCGGATGTGTCGGTGGCAAGTGAAGGGAGTGTTTGTGAATTTGTTTTGTCGGTGTACGTTATTATAAAGAACATAAGCCAGAGTTCTGCTTGTTGCTTCAAGCGTAAGTTCTCTGCTCCAATGTCAAATTTAAAAAAAACATCGATTACAGAAGAATGTAGCTCAGAGTGATGGTGGAGGAAGTTGGCTACACTGCCCACACAGGATTTCCACTGGTGCTGCCACAGACACCAGGTTTTTATCTTTAACTTTATTTACTGATGGTTATAAGAAGAGATAAACCTTTAAGCCTCATACCAAGAAGAGCTAGAGACAGACAATTACATGTGAAGGTATTGAGTCATGAAATAAATTGGTTAAGAAGAAAGAAAAAAAACTAGTCAGCTGCTTAATTGGATTTGATCAAAAGTGACATGAGATAACCACCAGAGCTGAAAATGTCCACAAGATGGCGCTCTGGATGAGCTCATCATCATGCATGGTGACAAACAGGGAAGTGTGTGTGTGTGTGTGTGTGTGTGTGTGTGTGTGTGTGTGTGTCAGTCAGAGAGTTGAGGACACAGAGGGAGGATGGGCTCGCTGCATGCCAATAAGAAGCTGAAGGCCTATTTGCAGTATGTCATTCGTGCAGCACAGCTGGGTTGTTTCACTCCGACAGGACCTGCAGCGAGAGGTTACAGCACCTGCATGTCTTCCTGTGACAAGAAATAAGAATCAGTGTGTCGGTGAAACCAGAGACACAGCTGCAGCGTGTGTGTGTGTGTGTGTGTGTGTGTGTGTGTGTGTGTGTGTTGTCGTGCCACAGCCATTTTCGTCTCACACCCCAGACTCTCAAAGCTTTGGTTGTGATCTGCTCTTGAGCGAAGCACCTTTGACTTTGATGCAGAGCTATGTGAATTAAAACGGGGGCTCCATAATGGTTTTTAAAAGGTCAGATTCATTCAAATTAAATTATTAGCTGTGATAAAAATGTAAAATATTATCGCGACAGGGATATTAAACAAGTCTAATGTATCATTCTGCTGCACTAACTCAAAATCATCTATTACTATAAAATGGACTGACGGACGTTTGGGATAAAAATAAAACAGACTGAGCCCTTTCTCTTCTCGTCTGAATCTCTTCTTAATGTCTCTAAAGGCTTTTTGCCAACAACTCAGCCAGCCAAGATTTAAATTATGGTTCCAGTTGGTTCTTCAGACCAAAGTTCAAATGAGAAATGACTTAGTGGAGTTTTTACAGTAGCCAAAAATTCTCCTCACGCTCTCAGACCTTCAGACTTTATCTGAGGTGAATCTGTATATTTTTGCCTCAATCTTTGAGTCTGGGAGTTTCGGCTGCTGCTGCTGCGCCCTCGCTGTGATCTGCTGTTTGATCGAGAATCCGTTCCTCCATTAGGGAAGAATAAACACAAGCCTCCTGTACTTTCTACCAGGAACAACATCACAGACTGACTCTGTGACGCTGGAATAGAGCTGCTGTCGTTGTTTATTCTTCCTGATTCATGTTGGTTGGAGCAGAGAAGTTTACTGACGCAAATACAATCGATCTCGAGATACTAAACCCAATATCTAGTGTGTAGGTGCAGATCTAGTGAATACCAGGGGACTGTTGGGCCTTGGTGGAGAGACGCACCTACAGTGCTAGTTTCATTAATGTGCTGCTCTTTTCACACGGGGCACAGTGAAATGATTGAGAAGACTTCTTAATGAATAATTGAAAAAAGTGAAAGCTGTGATTAAAAGCTTTAGTTTTCTCCTTCATCTTAAAGCAGATGTTTAAATGTGGAGGTGTTTAACTGTGGAGGTGTTTAACTGTGGAGGTGTTTAACTGTGGAGGTGGGCCTCCCTAGTGAGGTTTGAGATTTGTTAAAAGAAACACTGCAGGCACACAACTGCACTGTTTCTATTTCCCCCAGAGTCGGAATACAATAAAGAAAATAATAGCGATCACACCCCATCTAGAAAATTGAGTGAAACGAGTTGTTAACCAAGGTGGGGTGAAGCAACTCTGTCTGCAGGGGGGGGGGGGAGTTCAGACTTTGAAAACCTGGGGTTTAAAAATGCAGAGGGAGGGATCCGTCAATTTCTTCCTGCAGAAATAAAAAAAAAGAAAAGACTTTAGATCAAGGTCAAGGAAGAGACAGAATTTTTGAGATGCAACTCCAGTCTTTGCCTTGAAAAACAGATTTAGAGATTCACTGCTTCAGTTGTTGATGAAGTGATAAACTGCAGAGGAGAATAAATGGGCTTTGCTATAGTGAATTTGAATGAGTGGTACATTTCTAAATGATATGAGAACTCATTTCACCGTGTTCAGGTCCTAATAAATCTGACTGTTAGGGTGAAAGTACCACATGTCACAAAGAGGGTTTGTGGGAAAGTTGGTGTATTGACAAACACAACATGCAAAAGAAGTGCAGCGGAAATATGATGTGACATGAAACATGTAAATTAAAGAGTTTGTGTTTCTAGAATTCATACAAAACAAACATACATCATGTGTTGCAGAAAAAGAAAATAAGCCAAAGAATCTCTGTGTGAATAAAGAACACTGACTTTCACCAAAGTGAGGACGCAGGTGACTCAGATTAGAGGAAAACATTTCCTCTAATCTGAGTCACCTGCTGAGTCTATTATGATAATGAGCCTATGATGTCACTTCCTGTTATCGCCCAGGTCTATATACATCTCGTTCTCCCTTCGTTTCAGGTTCAGTCATTCTGAGGAAGGTCAGGATGCTGCAACACTTGGGTGTGTTTCTTATTGTCTGTGCGACGGAGGTTTTTGGTTTTAGTCTCTCTGCATGACACGGTGTCATTGTTTAGAATTGACAGGCGTTCTTCTTCTTCAGGGTTTTAAAATGGAACAAAATTATAATTCATTGGTTTCCTTTTTTCCAATGTTTCAGAGATGTGGTTAAAAGTTTCTCTGCGTCTGTGTTTCACTTGACTCGTTGCATCTCTTTAGAGTCACATCGGCAACAAGAGGTCACTTGTCAGAAAAATATAAATGAACTGTGTCAATTTTTTAAGTTTGAATAAACAAGCAATGGTGTGATATTTAGAACGCAGTGATATTTTAGCAGGTTACAGGTTATTT